AAGGACATCCCTGCTTATTTCAGCAAGACAATGCCAAGCCACATTCTGCATGTGTTACAACAGCTTGGCTTCATAGTAAAAGAGTGCGGGTACTAGACTGGCCTGCCTGCAGTCCAGACCTGTCTCCCATTGAAAATGTGTTGCGCAAAATATGACAAGGCCGACCCCAGACTGTTGAGCAACTTAACCCTTGTGCTCTGTTCGGGTCTGTGGGACCCGGAGACACATGTCTCCTTAAAAACAACAATATATATAAATATATATATATTTATATATATTGTTGATGCTGAATATGGGGACCTGCTCTACATTCAGAAGAGCGCTGGCTAAGTCGCGGCTCCGTGCTTTGGCGGTTTTATTCTTTGAGATCAGAGATCAACCAGTTTTTGGAAAAAAAGAACCAACCTCTTCATGAGCTGAGTGACCCTCTATGGTTGGCAGACCTGGCGTTTTTAGTTGATCTCACTGAACACCTCAACACACTCAACAAGAACCTACAAGGCAAAGACCAACTCGTACCGCAGCTTCACGGGCACATGAAAGCATTCTGTGTGAAGCTCCGACTGTTTGGGGCACAGTTGCGCACCTTCAATGTCGCGCACTTCCCCACACTGTGTGAAATCAGATCTACGTTTCCAAAGGCCAAGCTCTCTGATAAAAAGGGGAAATATGTGTCTGTGATCACATCTCTCATGACAGAATTTTCTCAGCGCTTCCAAGATTTTTCCTCCATTGAGAACGATATCAAGCTGTTCGCGACTCCCTTCATGATAAATGCAGGAGAAGTGGAAGAGAGTCTGCAATTAGAACTTATATATGAAGCTAGGTTAAATAACACTTAATGAAATGCCAAGTGATTATACAGTTCACTCTTAAGCTACAAAAGTACAAAATGACACTCAGAATGTTATATTTACAGGAATTTCTTTTTTGATATTGCTGAAAAATCACATCTGTTAATGCAGTGATGCTAAAGATAACAGTTGTATGGGACAACACTGTAGGAAATTATGTGAAACTGTGGGGAGCGCTTGACAAAAATCAAAATGACATAAATGTCAAAATCTGAAAATCTGTCTTACCACATAAATTACAACTACTTCACCTACAGTATACAGGGCACACAGAGGCATTAAGAGCATCCCAAAAATTGTGCAGATAAGCGCACTCTTTATTCATGGATTGTAAAGGACAGTGAGTGGTGCATTAATGCAGACCCTGGATCACAAGATTAAAAAGAAGATTGCCTTGCAGAAACTTCAGTGACCCACCAGGAGAGAAGATCAACTAGCCACAGTAACACTGCCCTGGAATTCCAGTACTTAAGGTAATAGAGATGGGGGCTGAGAATTGGGTGTATGTTAGATGAAGGAAGGACAGACACAAGGACTTCTAAAATTAAACTATTTCTTAAATGGCTGTATCCTAAAATCATATTTTAAATTTCATCACATTAATGCTTTGCACCTGATTTTCATTCCTGCATCGTTTGAAATTTTTCTTTTTTAAAATTATAAGATAAAACTTGTCACTAGATTACAAACAACAGAACTGTAAAGTCATGCCAAATGATGATGTACAGTATGATTAGCTGTACAGGAATATTTGTTTATTATAAAAAAAGAGACCATAAGAGCAGCCTGCCAAGTTGAAACAGCTGTCTGACCTTCCCTGGAGAAGCTCCGTGTCAGGTGAGAGGAAAACACCGAGGTAATTAAAGGTACAAGATACAAAATGGTAATGAGTCCAATAGTCAGAAGCCCTTGAGCTCTTTTTATCCAAACCTCCTGAGGCCTAGCCAGTGGTAGGCGGCCGCTTGGCCATCATTGATTCCCTTCTCCAATACACTGTTTTTGAACATCAATGCAACATGAAGGTATTTGTATCCTCATTAATGCTGTTTGCTCAGCAGATCAATGCAGACTGAAACCTCCAGCTACGCCCGAGAGGCATCAGACCTGATGGGGTGAAGTCTTACAGTACAGTATAAAAGTACCCCATCATGAGTAAATTTCCAGCATTAAAAATGTCCCTTACTTAAGACCAACAAAATATTTGTGGTAAAAAGTGAAAGTACATTTTCTGAAACTTGGTGACATGTTCCCCTAGTCTTATAACCTTCAAAGAACATTCTTCTTCAGTTAATTAGTTCAAGAAACATTCTCAGAAGGTTACTGTATAATGTTAATATTGTTGTCAGGCAGTACTTTTCACTAATGGGAGTACTCAGAATGGTTTCAACATGCCCATTTTTATATATACCTCCACTAAAAATTGTGGACAATGGGCCTTGGGAGTGATTGAAACTCTAAATTCACAAAAACGTTCTAGGAATCACACTTTGCACTTTGTAAGAAAATTCTCCTACCATCATAAAAATATTGCCAGAAAAATTCATACAACAAAACTAGCAACTACAGCACAACTGCCAGATAAATAACGAGGAGTAAATAGTACAAAATGTTCCTCTCAAATGTAGCAGAATATTAAGAGAATGATGAGAATTAAGAGAATAATGTTGTACAAAATGGAACTTAAATAACTTAAACATTTTTAAATCACTTTCAACTCTAGGTGCAAAATCTGTGGCAAACATAAAAAGTCATGACTCCAAATCACAGGGGCAGGATCTTATTGCCAGCACTGAAAAGCACAGGGAAATTGTAGTATTTATCATAGTTTTCTCTATGACCGAAAGGCTTAAGTGTTTTTGAAGTGACTTATCAGATTGAATGAAAAATAACTGAGTTATATGCACAGAAGAATAACACAGAATGAGCTGTCAATCAATCTATGTTTGGATGAACATTTGTGTGATTGGCAGCATCGCCAAGCGAATCAAACAGCTGAGTGCATATTTCTCTGTACCGTCAACTCAGGACGGTAGTTACAGCCATCAATAAGGTTAGCTTTCACTAAGAACACATGAAGTAGGATATAAATTTACTGGGGAGTAAATTCTTGTGAATGGTAATAACTGAGATAGCAGAATGTAGCCTGTTTTACGAGTAAAGAAATGGTTAACGTAGCTAACATGTACTGAATTAGCTAAGTTACTTTAACCAAAGAAGCTACTTAGTTCACATTACATAAATAATATGCAACTTCAACAAATCCCCCAGTAAAAATAATATAAACCAAGGGTTTGGACTGCATATTGACAGTATCAAGGAGCAGTCTAATACACCACTCCACTCAATAAATAACCTTACATGCATTCCATCTATTCCCTGAAGCATTTTTCTGTAACTTTCAACCTCTGACCCCACACACCTACGTCTCCAAGGATGTTATCATTTGTAGCTGATCTGGAAAACAAATCCCCCCCCAACATCATCTTGTTCATTATCCAGGAGAAAATGCATCTGTTTGCAAGCAAAGACCCTTTCCTCACCTCGGCCCTATGTTTCTCCTGTGGCACATGATCAGCATTTGCCAACTATGGTCCTTTGCTCACAGGCGCCTGCTGGGAAGTTCCTTGAAAATTCCATTTGTCTTAGGCTCAGAGATGCTTACTTTATGGCTCTTCTTTGCTGAGTGTCAGGTTAGCTGGTGGAAATAAGGTTTTACAGGTTTTTGCCTAACTGGCTTATTCAGAAAGGCTTTAATATTTTGCCAAAGAATGCATATATTTGGAATGCTGCATGGATGTTTTCAAAGTTTTATAAAGCTAGCTACTGCTTTGTTCTCATTGTCTGAATATGGATTGTTCATTTCAACATTTTGAAAGAGTTTTTTTTTAATATTTGTTTTGTTTTATGTTAAACTGAAACAGAAGTATGAACAGGTTTTTTGTAATGTAATATAGGTCACTTTGTATGATACCATGACACTATAATTTCAGCTAACTTTTTGGTTCTGCAGCAGTAATAAACTGCATTCAACCTGATTAAAACTGTGAAAAAAAATTCTGTAAACCACGGGCTCAGCTTAGGTACACCTGGTTGATTTTCATTTGATCAAAATGCCATAACACACACACACACACACACACACACACACACACACACACACACACAACACAATCAGATAAAAACAAACAAACAAAAAAAAAAACACAAAGCCAAATGGAATTTTTTCATTGTGATCCTCCAACATCCAACACAAACACCAAGTGAGTCCCACACAGGTCTTATAAAACTATTAATCCTTATTTCTGCAATGGTGAAACTTCACTAAATCTTAAACATTATGCAATAAGGCTTAATCATCTGAATACATGTGTCACAGTGAGAGGTCTATGTGAACTCTCCCTACCAGCACAATCGATGTGACTGGTTTAAACTGTCACTCTATCCCAGCAAAACAACACCAGCTTTCATTTCAAGTCATGATCTGCATGCACTATTCATACACTGCAGTAGATAGAAAAGCTGTACAGATATAATCCATCACTGACCATTGTTAGATCTGTGAATACTAACAGTATGTGAAAATGCTTACATTAGAACATGTAAGTTAGCTGAATAAATGAGGCGTGACATCTCTGCACAGTGTACTGTACAGCAGATATGCTATTCTTTGGATTAGAGATGATGAGAAGAGAAACAGAAACCATATGGTTCACTACCTTCATATTAGTCTTTAGGGAAGTGAGCTACATCCTTCCCAGGCTGCCCTATCCTGTGCAGGATAATGAACATCTTTTTTCAGCTACCCAGTGCCTGCATCACTTTAAAACGGGACTTCAGAGCAGAGGAAACATTTCACAGCTGCTCTCCCCACACCCCCCCAGGTTCTAAACAGATGCACTAAGTGATCAGCTGCTGCAAAATGTTCCAGACAGAGCCAACACGGAACTAAAAATTACCTACTGTGCACTTGAGTGTTAGACAGTGTAAAAGTCACCTCTTATATGTCATCCTGCATGAACAATCTGAAGGAAACGAGATGAAAACATTTAGAGTGAAAGAAACTGCAGTTTAAAGTGAGACTACTGCAACAGCAACTTGATGTGTTGTGTGTACCACCTGAGACAAACCACAAACCATGGCACTCACCATCCTTGCGGTGATAAGTGATCTCCACCTTGCGCTCCTCTGAGCCTAGCAGTGCCTGGGCCACCTGGGCCACTGCGTGCCGGCTGGTCAACTGGCCATGCAGGAAGTCGCAAGTGCACGGCTTCTGCATGACGTCTGGCCTGGAGAAGCCCGTCATCTCACAGAAGCCATCATTACAGTAGATAATAGCGCAGTTCTGCACCCGGGCATTGGCTATGATGAATTTCTTGTCTGTGGAAAATTAAAGGAGTGATTTGGGAAGGAACAATGTTAATTTGTT